AAAGAATAAACCCTAGAGAAAGCTTAGTGGTACCCCCGCCACCCTCTTGTGTTGGTCAAATCATTTAACACCCTCGGAAGGGAGCTGAAATGGGCCTCCAGGGAGCATCTGGCCGAGGGTGCGTTAAGCCATCCCAGGTGTCCGGAGGGCTGCCTGCCTTTATTTTAGTGGCTTCACTCTAACCACTGGGAGTGATTCTATCGAATGCACTTTCCCTCACCCACTTCCCCACCCTCACAGACGTCAAGGCCACGGAGCTTTCAGAGTATTTCCTGCCTGTAGAGATGCAGCACAGAGACGAAGTGAGGGGAGGGGACAGGGCCCGCCCACGCTTTTGTCCCCTCGTGGCTCGACCATCTATCAAGTTCTGGGTGGGGCTCCTACAGGACAGCGTGGTCTCCTCCTCATCCCTGTGCCCCCAGGGCCACCTGGCGGCAGGAGACTCTGTGAACGGAACTGATGAATGACACTGTGCTCAAAGAACCAGTCAACTCACGTGCTGTCTTTGTTTCCCAGGAGGACTGGAATGAAATTGATCCCGTTAAAAAGAAAGACCTTCATCACAGCAATGGAGAAGAGAGGGCGCAGAGCGTGGAGACCCTCCCTCCAGGTACTGCCCCGGGCCGGGGGCCAGGACGCCGTCCTGCTCTGCCCACATAGTGGTGAATGGACCCAAGCTGGCACGGGGAGCCACGGCCTGTGGCGGGGAGCGCGGGCTTCGTAGTCCAGCTGGGGACAGGCTCGGGAGCACTGCTTTTCAGAGCCCGTCAGCCCGCTGGTGGGTGGTAAGATGGAGTTTAGTGGGAGGTGACCGAAATGTGTTGAAAGAGGAAATAGAAGAAAATAGAAAGTACAGGATGGTACGTATTAGTTTAGCAAAATATTTTAATAGACCTTATTTCTTTAGAGCAGTGTTGGGTTTACAGCAGAACAGGGAGGGAGGTCCAGAGAGTTCCTGTACACCTGCCGCCCCACACTCACAGCCTCCCCGTAACAGCGTCCCCCACCGGAGGCCCATTTGAACCTGCACTGACACGTCATTGTCACCCAGAGTCACAGGTTACGTTGGGATTCACTCTCGGTGCTGGACGTTCTGTGGGTTTGGGCACATGTGTGAGGACACGCGTCCACCATCACAGAATCACACAGAGTAGCTCCACTGCCCCCCAGATCCCCTGTGCTCCTCCTGTTCACCCCTCCCTCCTCCCAACCCCTGGTAGCCCCTGATGTTTTCACCGTCTTCAGAGTTTGTCTTTCCCAGAATGTCCTATAGAAAGAATCCTGCCGTGTGCAGCCTTTGCAGACTGGCTCCTTTCACTTAGTAACATGCATTTAAGTTTCCTCCGTGTCTTTTCCTGACTTGATAGCTCATTTATTTTTACAACTAAATAATATTCCATTGTCTGGACGTACCACAGTTAGTTTATTCACTCACCTGCTGAAGGACATCTTGGTTGCTTCCAAGTTTGACAACTATGAATAAAGCTGCTGTAAATATCCACTACAGATTTTTGTGTGGACGTAAGTTTTCAACTCATTTGCATAAACTCTGAGAGGCTGATAGCTGGATCGTATGGTAAGAACATGTTTAGTTTTATAGGAAACTTTCAAAATAGTCTTCCAGAGCAGCTGCACCATTTTACGTTCCCACCAGCAGTGAATGAAAGTTCCTGTTACTCCAGATCCTTGTCAGCCTTTGGTGTTGTCTGTGTTCTGGATTTTGGCCATTCTAGTAGGTGTGTAGTGGTGTCTCGATGCTGTTTTAATTTTCGCTACTCTGATGACATATGACGTTAACCATCTCTTCATATTTGCTATCTGTGTGTTTTCTTTGGTTGGCCGTTCAGGTCTTTTGCCCATTTTTTAATCAGATTTTTATATATTCAGGGTAACAGTCCTTTATCAGATATGCCTTCTGCAAACATTTCCTCCCAGTCTGTGGTTTATCTTCTCATTTTCTTTTCTTTTTTTTTTTTTTTTTTGTTTTTTTCTGTGTCCGGCAACGGATCGCAACCCTCAGTGTCGCCCCCGTACCGGACCGGGGACTGGCAACGGGATCGCACCCCTCGGTGTTGCCCCCGCTCCTTGCTCAGCCAGTGAGCGGGAACCGGTCTGTATGTGGGATCCGAACCCTCGGCGGGAGCGCCGCCGCACTTCCCAAGCGGCGCACTATCCAGTGCGCCACCGGGCCGGCCCTATCTTCTCATTTTCTTTTCTTTTTTTTTTTTTTTTGTTTTTTTCTGTGTCCGGCAACGGATCGCAACCCTCAGTGTCGCCCCCGTACCGGACCGGGGACTGGCAACGGGATCGCACCCCTCGGTGTTGCCCCCGCTCCTTGCTCAGCCAGTGAGCGGGAACCGGTCTGTATGTGGGATCCGAACCCTCGGCGGGAGCGCCGCCGCACTTCCCAAGCGGCGCACTATCCAGTGCGCCACCGGGCCGGCCCTATCTTCTCATTTTCTTTTCTTTTTTTTTTTTTTTTGTTTTTTTCTGTGTCCGGCAACGGATCGCAACCCTCAGTGTCGCCCCCGTACCGGACCGGGGACTGGCAACGGGATCGCACCCCTCGGTGTTGCCCCCGCTCCTTGCTCAGCCAGTGAGCGGGAACCGGTCTGTATGTGGGATCCGAACCCTCGGCGGGAGCGCCGCCGCACTTCCCAAGCGGCGCACTATCCAGTGCGCCACCGGGCCGGCCCTATCTTCTCATTTTCTTAGCAGTGTCTTCCCAAAAGCAGAAGTTTTATATTTTATTAAAGTCCAGCTTACCAATTCTTTCTTTCAGGGATTGTGCCTTTGGTGTTGTCTCTAAAAAGTCACCACCATACCCAAGGCCACCGAGGTTTTCTCCTGTTATCTTCTATGAGTTTATAGTTTTGTGTTTTACATTTAGGCCTGTGATCCACGTTGAGTTAATTTTTGTGAAGGGCATAAGGTCTGTGTCTAGGTTTATTGTTTTGCACGTGGATGGCCAGTTGTTCCAGCATTTGTTGAGGAGTACCTTTTCTGCATTGTTTAGTCTTTGCTTCTACATCAAAGATAAACCGACTGTATTTAAGTGGGTTTCCTAGTATTACCAGGCTCTCCATTCTGTTCCGAAGATTCATTTGTCTGTTCTTTCGCCATTGCCACACTGTCTGGATTACCATGGCTTAACATTAAGTCTGGAAGTCAGGCAGCGTCAGTCTACTGACTGTTTTTCTTCAAGATAGTTTGGACTGTCCCATAACTTTTGCTGCTTCATGTAAACTTTAGAGTCAGTTTGTCGATATCCACTAAATAACTTCCTGAGATTTCGATTTGGATTGCATTGAACCAGGAGCTCAAGCTGGGAAGAACTGACATTTTGACAGAATTGAGTCTTCCTATCCATGAACGTGGACTATCTCTTCATCTCTTGAGACCTTCTTTGATATCTTTTATCAGAGTTTTGTAGTTTTTCTCATATAGATCTTATACATATTTTGTTAGATTTATTCCTAAATATTTCATTTTGGGGCATCCTAGTGTGTCGGGCCTCCCTGAGCCAGAGGCCGACAAAACCGAGCGGGAAGAGACCCCGGTC